CTTGTGAAACTGCTAGGATGTAATGAACTGCCAATAGTGGTAAGCAAGTAGGCATGTGAATTGCTGTCACTTGACTCGAGTCATAAATTAAACCTATATCAGACTAGTGTCCATATAACCAAATGATTCTTTTCATGCGGAAATCTGATGCTTGCATACTCTAGTTTTTGCACAAGTAGAAGCTCAAGCCTCTTTGCCTCATCTAGGGCTGTCCTTGAGACATGCCGTTGCTCTTAACGGCTGTTCAACTTTGCATAATCAATGGGTTTAACACATAGGCCAGCACAATAGTAAATGTTCTTCAAAGTCTGTTTTAACTCTGCAGTGCAGTTGAAAATACAAACTTTAGAGCCAGTGTATGAGGTCAGGGCTGTGGAAGGTATAATATAATTATTGTACGATAAAGCTAGTGTTTAGGAAATCAGTTTCCTATGCTCTAGCACTGGCAGTTGTTTGCTGATTGTCCTCAGATGGTGTGCTGTCCTCATGTTTAATGTTTACTACATGGGTAATGCTTAGCTCTGCCTTTAAAGCTTGACAGTGGGTAATATATCATACTCTTTACTGCGAAGGCTGGGGCAAAGGGGCAGCAAGCATGGCCATGTTTGTGCAAATACAGCTTAGATGACGCTGTTTCCTAAATGTTACTTTCACATCTGTTTCAGACTCCTTCATTAAGAGCCATAGGAAATATCGTCACTGGTACTGATGAGCAGACACAGATTGTTATTGATTCAGGAGCATTAAGTGTCTTTCCAAGTCTGCTTGCTCATCATAAAAACAACATTCAGAAAGAAGCAGCGTGGACAATGTCCAACATTACTGCTGGACGTCAGGACCAGATTCAGCGAGTTGTAGATCATGGTCTTGTTCCTTATCTCATTGGTATCCTGCGGAAGGTAAACAAGAACTGTCTACTATGTTAAGTTTTGCTGTTACCATTACTATCTGTGTTTAAATACCTTTCTTCTTACCTTCACAGGGGGATTTCAAATCTCAAAAGGAAGCTGTGTGGGCTGTGACTAACTACACAAGTGGTGGAACAATTGACCAGATCGTATACCTTGTCCAGGCGGGTGTTGTTGAACCTCTACTGAATCTCCTCACGGCTAAAGACAGCAAAACTGTGCTAGTTATTCTGGATGCTGTCTCTAATATCTTTTTGGTATGTGGATGCAATATACTCCATAGTTAAGTTGTTTGTAATGGTTTTCCAGCAGTTAGTGCCTATGCAAAATAGCAAAAGTCTCTTCTTCCCC